ATCAGGTAAAAATCTTTCTTCCCCCTCTCTCAGCAACCAATGTGGACTCCTTGCCTTTGTTACTGAAAGTTTTTTAAACAGTTTGTTTTTAGCATTAACCGTAACTTAATATTTCTGTTTCAGAATTCAGTCGATGCAGCAAAGCCTCTGTTACGTAAAGCCATCCAGATTTCACAGCAGACCCCTTATTGGCACTGTAGACTACTTTTTCAGCTTGCAGTAAGTATTGTACAAGGCTTACAGAGCTTCATGAAGGACCGTGAAGATGTTCAGAGGGATAATGTGGCTGTAAAATTTCTAGTTTTTTTTTTTCAAAAAATGAGGGGATGTGTTTAGTGGTGCGAGGAAGGGCTCAAATGTGCTGTGGTTCTGTGGCTGGAATCAATGCAGTAGTGCAGTGAAACTCTGATATGTTTTGTTAGGCATTATTTGACAACGTTCTTGGGATTGGGAGGTGCACTTCATGTTTTGCTGTCTTTGCTGCTTCTGTCCCATCTCTTCAGTGCATGCTACTTAGCTTTTCATTTTGATATGATATAAGGTGCGTCTTGTCTTCACTATCCAAAGAGTTAACAGACAAGGCAAGGAGTGAGAGAGGCTGGTTAGAGTTCATTTGTCAATGGTATCTTTCCGGCGTGTGCCTTTTCTCTGCAGCCTTCCAGAAGAGCCTTAAACAGTCAGACAAGGATTATTGAGGGAATCAGTTTTTCTTTTGAGGTACTTTCCTTCAAAGTAAACTTGACAAACTTATCTTCTTGATGGATGGTTTACACTCATTTCTATTCCTTTTCTACCGCCAGCCTGCAAAAGCTTAACTAAATGGGGCAAATTTCCTGAACTGAAGTTGTTATACTCCTTTGTATTTTTGAGAGCTGTAGTTTCCATACTAATTAAGGGAAAGTGGTTACTTTACAATGAATAATGCCTGCATACTTACAAAACCTAACCTCCTTGCAGAGCCTCTGCATAGTATTCTTCCTAGAAGCCCAAAAATGGTGTATATTTTAGGTGGATTGTTTACTCGTGGTTTTTGTTTAACCAGAGGGCCGCCTCCCTTTATGGATTGGTTTTTCAACTAGAATTTGGGGGAAGTTGCAGAAACTAAGGGTGCTTGATGGAAAAACTTTATACCGCTTCTCTTCCTCCCTGGGGTGCTTGCAGACTTTACTTCCCAGGCCATCCCATGGAACTGCTCCATCTGTGTTTTTTTTTTTTTTTTTTTTTTTTTTTTTTTTT